GATACCTCTCTCTCTCTCTCTCTCTCTCTCTCTCTCTCTCTCTCTCTCTCTCTCTCTCTGTGTGTGTGTGTGTGTGTGTGTGTGTGTGCATGTATTTATATACATACTAGGGTTGCCAACCTCCAGGTGTGGCCTCGCAATCTCCCAGGGTAACAACTGCCTTCTAGACTAGAGAGATCAGTTCCCATGGAAAAAATGGCTGCTTTTGAGAATGCACTCTATGTCTTTATACCTGTCAGCAAGCTGCCATTAAGTGTTATATTGCTTGGAGTATGTTCCCTTCCCCCCTTGTTCCTTTCACTTCTGTATTCTGCACCCTCCCGTTTCTTAGATGCCTGGAACAGCTCAAGGTTACCCAGCTGGTGTGTAAAGGAGTAACTCTGTTATCTGCTGCCTCGTTAGTGGTGTCTATTGTCTATGAACCAAGGGCCTGTTTTGAGAAAGGCAAACTGTTATGTTCTCATGCAATTGCCAGTCAGTGCCTACCTTATTCGCGCCGGCGGGAAAGAGATCTATTGGTTACAGTTTGGTTCAATTCCCTTTATCATGGTCCCCTTTGGGGTTTGTGTCCATTCCTAACAATTTCTATTGTTCCTGCTTCTTTCAAATGCTTTGAAATAAATTTTGCTTTAACCTTTAAATGTGGATTTATTTTGGAGACTTTGGAGATTCAACAATACCCTGCAGAAGTCCCTCCCCTCCCCAAATCCTACCCTCCTCAGGCTCCACCCCCAAAATCGCCAGATATTTCCCAACCCGGAGCTGGCAGTCCTGATCTTAGACACATTTAGCAAGTGTCCCTTTGATCATATGCAAAACAGCAATTTGTGTGCCATTTAGAGTCAGGTCTGGATTCAAAGGGGGTCTGTTCCCAATTTGAAAATGTGTAGATTTTTTGGATTTATTTCATCACACTTTAATAAGTCTCCTTGACATCTGTGGGACAAGTGAGTTACAATTCAGTGAAACTGCAATAATTTCAGAGGGACTTAAGCAGAATTTTGCAGCCCCATTTTGTGGTTTCATTTATTTATTTGCTTCTCCCTTTCATACAAGAAACCCATGAGTTTTTAACATGCCACTATTTTCTCTTTCTTTCCACCAAACTTTTCCTGTTACATTTAAACCACTAGAATGGTTATTTTTGCATCGGCTGTATGAAAATAAAAGAAGTGAGTGAATCGAGACTAAATGGGCTCACAAGGATGTAAGAAAAAAATTAAAATAAAAAGGGCAGTTTTATACATTCCTAACCTCCTCTGAATCAGGAGTGGGAGGTGTAAATTATTCATATGAACCCCTGACTTTTTTCCTGGACAAAAAACACATTTCTCTTTGAAAGACTGCTTTCAAATTCCTCCTGTTTTGGCTTCCTTTGTGATGCCTGTGGAGGAAGAGTTCTCCTCAGAATCAAAGACGCCAGTTGAGGTCTTGTTTGGGTCACATATTGTCTCTTTGCTGCCTGGAGTTCAGGCCATGGGCCTCCCACAAGGACTAGAAAGAACGTGATGTCATGAAAAATCAGAGGTTGACATCATAAGTCTTGTATGATTTGGCTCCGGATAGAAGGCTCTCTCCCTTCTGAAGGAAGCCACAGAGGAGACACAAGGGAAGGACCGACTCCTTGAGTCACGCCCCAGCATATTTCTAGGCCTGTGTTTGAATAGTCCTGATGCTCACATATTGGGATAAGAACAGTTTCTCTGGGAGGAAGTGAGGCCTTCAGATAGAACAGCAGCTAACCAGATTTGGTTGCAAGGGTTCCCATGTTTTATTTCACACTTCTAAGGAGACACCTTGGGAAAAAAAATATCTGCGAATGGGCAGGCGCTAAGGAACAACAAAAAGAAAGAACAACCACAGGGGATATAGGCTTTGATGCCAAAAACACCCAGCTGCTAAGAACTCACAACAGGATCCTTTTTTGTCTGCATTTTCCCTAGGCAACTCTGGACCCTCCTTTTAGAAGGAGGGTCAATAAAACCAGGGCTATTTTTGGGCAGGAACGCACAGGAACGGAGTTCCGGCTGCCTCCTGAGTTGGCCACGCCCAGCAGGAACTCATTAGCATAATAGGCCACACCTAACAGCAGAAACTCATCAGGATTGGCTACATTAGGGGTGTGTGGCCTAACATGCAAATAAGTTCCTGCAACAAAAAAAGCCCAGGGTTTTGACAATAAAGTAAACAGAATAAGAAGCAAAAGGTGGGTGTGGCTGGATGACCACACTTCTGGTAACATGGGGGTGTGTGGCCTAATATGCCAATGAGCTGTGCTATCAGGGGTGTGGCCTAATATGCTAATGAGTTTCTGCTGTTGGGTGTGGTCTATTATGCTAATGAGTTCCTGCTGGGCTTTTTCTACAAAAAAAGCCCTGGATAAAACTGAGGGAGATGGCAGCCTTCTGCAATCCTCCTGAGCCCATGTGGAGTTCTAACAGCTCCCATGTTCTCCCTTTTCCTTTGGAGACCTGCCTTCCTTTCATGCCTGAGGCATTCCTTTCATGTGGACGGCCTCCCTGGATTGACAGCATATGGATTTTGAATTCAGACACAATAAATAATCTAATGAAGAGGAGCCGTTTGCCTTGAGGATTCAGGTTGTATCAAAAGTGTTGGCTCTCTGGAACTTTCCCAAGTTCCTTCCCTTTCTTGTGGTTTCTCTATCCCCGACAATAGGAGAGCTGTGCAATATGTGCTAATCTGGATAAATCTGTATTTTTCGTCTCTGGGTTTGGGAAGTGAGATGAAAATGCTGGGATGGGGGGGGGGGAAACACAACCCAGATGGTACGTATCAATTTCTTGTCTACTTTCCCATCAAAGATCCTATCGTTCAGTGGTGAAATGTGACAACATGGAGCACAGGGGGTTTCTCTAATATCCAGATGGTAAGCTGTATAGTAAAGTAAGACTGGTAAATCTGTACATAAAGGATCTTTGATCTTGTTGCTTCCTGCACAGAATCATAAACGGCTGGAATGGGACATGAAGTCTTGCATAGGGTTGCCCTGTGTACTGACGGCTCTCAGTGTACTGACTGGAAGTGATGTAGGCACATCGGGAGCGACGCTCTGTTTTTTAAAGCAAAACTCTCTGGTAAAATCACCCTCAAACCATAGGTAAAGGTAAAGGCAAAGGTTCCCTTGCTCGAAAGCCAGTCGAATCCGACTCTAGGGTTGCGGTGCTCATCTCCGTTTCAAAGCCGAAGAGCCAGCACTGTCCGAAGACATTTCCGTGGTCATGTGGCCGGCATGACTAAACACCAAGGTGCACGGAACGCTGTTAACCTTCCCTATTTATCTACTTGCAATTTCTTGCTTTTGAACTGCTAAGTTGGCAGAAAACCATAGAGTTTTGCCCAAAAACCAGAGTGTTGCCCCCCGGCATGCCTATGTTACTTCCCGGTGACATAGGCACGTTTTTTTCCCTTTCAATTGGTTGCTCGTGTAAGGGGGGAGGGAATAATAAAGGGGAAATTGATGTATTTGATGTTTGGTTATGTAAACTTGATGGAAAGGATTATTCATGGATATGAAATGTAAGACATCGATACAAATTAAAAAAAATTTAAAAAAACATAAAAATACATAGGCACATTGTGGGAGGTTGCTGGGTGTGTGTGTGTGATCTCCTCCCGCCGGCCAGCTGGCTAGTGGCAGGCGGGATCCTGCAAAACCTGGCAATCCCCCACCCCCAACTGGGGAATGGCAACCCCAGTCTTGCAGTGGACTTGAGTAAAATACATTTCTGAACAGCCATTCCTCAGCACATAGCCTTCGTTTGTAGCCTGCGACCGTCAATGGGAAGAAAGCTTTTCATCTGTGAATGGGCTGTTAATGGCCTTAATGACACAGTATGGGACCCTGGACCGAATCTTTTTCTCTGTGATGAGTGAATACCACTATACCGCATTAACTCCCAAGATAATTGCCCCCCCTCACTAGGGCATAAACATGAACAAACTTGGCTGTCTCATCATGTCAACTTTGACCCTTTGAGAAAACACCATTATTGTCGACGTAAGCAGTGAAAGCAAAGTCATCCTTGTTCTCCACTGTCTCTTTAGGAAGGCCACAAGCCAGGTTGCAATACAGGCTGACCAGAGGGTAAGAGAGAAAGAGATCAAAGGTAAGCCCTAGTTTGCTCCATGATAGTCCTATAGGGTTGCACTAGGACTGTAGGGGAAAGACAAAATGAGTCATTAGATAGAAACATATGAAAGGAGCTGAGGTGAATGGGGTGGGGGATATTCAAGCAACTTCTCCTCATTCATATTTGCTTGCTAAATCTGACTGTATAAATTCTGTTGACTTGGGCATAGGTGTGCTGAAAGAAAGAATGGTGAGAAAGGCTGATAATGAAATTCACAAATGTTAAGGCACATCTGGCCACAGGGGCAGCTTCTGTTTCAAATCTGGTATTTCAGTATCCGACATGAAAGAAAATCCCATTCCCAACAGCAGCATAAAGGCAAAGAATAGATGCATGTTATATGAAGCCATCTTATACAGAATTAGACCTTTGGTCAATCTAACTCAATATTGTTTCTTTGATGGGAAGTGGCTCTCTATGTGAAGAAAAACCTGCCCCAGCACTAGTTACTTGAATTAATCTAAGCAGAGATGCCAGGGGCTGAACCTGGGGCTTTCTGCATGCAAAGCAGGTGTTGAACTACTAAGCTATGGCCACTTCCTTTCTCAACAGGCATCTCCAATTGAACATTCAGCCAACCCTGCTCTGCACTCATCACCTAGAGTTCACCGCTTGCATTGGATGAAGCAAAATCTGGCTCATAAAACTTGAACCACAGCATATTTGATAGTCTTTAAGGTTCTTTGCTGTAAAGCAACAAACTGCTAAGAATGAGCCATATTTTCCTCTCTCCCTTCTTCAGTATTTCTGGTGAGATCTCAAACCAGAGCTGGGTCTAAGTTCTGGAGGACTTCAAAAATGCCTTCTAGTGGGTTCCCCAGTGCTGGAGTTCCTCACCCCCTCCACCATCTACAAGGTAGCTGCTGTTCATTCATGGGTGGGCAAGTTAATCCTCTCCTTCTCCTCACTGGTGTCAGCACCTTCTCCTGCCATGTGTCCAACTTGAAACACTGGGCCATCTGAAGAAGTGAGTAGTGACTCATGAAAGCTCAGGTTGAAACAGACGTTGCTGACCTTTAAGAGGCCACTGGACTTAACACACTAGCACAGCTGCCTCTTTGCAACTGGCTAAATGGACCAAGGGTCTCAGTATGAAAGCATCATCTCCTAGGGAAAAAGAAGTAGGTGAGACTGTTCAAAGGAGGAACAAGCTAACACGATTCAAGTCAAACCGTTGCACATACCAGTGGATCCTGTCACAGTGGAAGGCTTGCTCTTGTGTCTTCCTTTCTCTGCCACAAGGCTGATGGCATACTCTATACCAGCATCTAGGGACCTTAAGAGGTGAGATGTGCTATCTGCTGGAATCTCGATTTCATTCTTCCTCCCCGCGGGGGTTACGTAAGTAAGGCGATAGCGGTCAAATTTGGCCAGGGGTCTTTTCCAGCGCAATAGGAGAGTGGTTTCAGTAGGATCGCTGACCTCCAAGTCCTTGGGACTATCCAGATCTACACAAAGCACACAAGAAGAAATGAAGAAGGTCAAAGTGATTTATCATCCTGAAGGGGGACACTGTATAAAAATTCTCTTGGCTAACCCCAGACAGATTCCTATTATAAAAGAAAAGCTCACACCATTTGGATGTGACGTTTGGAACGCTGTATAAGCCTGTGGTTGGCAGCTGGCCGCCTGCAGTCTAGATCTGGCCCACTGAGAGAATCATCATTTGGTGCTATTTTTAACAACTATACAGGAATCTTTTAGCCTCAGCCAATCTCCTCTTCATAACTGGCTTTGGGGAGAAAACTTCCAGAATCACATGGCCTACGCTATCCACCCACCAGTTCCCTAGTATTAATTCCAGAGTAAGCCAAATGCCGGTAAAAAGTATATATGGGGGAACTGTGAGGAATTACAGGGGAAGGAATTTGGCCTATGTTATTTATTAACGTTCATTATTTTAAAAAATTCTACCCCACCTTTCCTCTTGGCTCAAGGCAGCTTACTAGTAGTATTAAAATGTTACAGACTGAAAGCCCTAAATACTCCCTACCAGGGGTCATTTCCTGCAGGAGCGCACAGGAGCGGAGCTCCGGCAGTAAAGAGCCCAGGGGGCGGGCACATGCAACAAGCCCCACCCCCTGCTCCCACCAGCCCTAAGTCAGAGCAAGAAGCAGCCAGGTAAGTTGCAGAGCTCCACCTGGCCCCCCGGTCCAAGACAGTCCAGTGGCACCTTTAAGACCAAGTTTTATTCAGGTACAAGCTCTCCCTCCTCTGCGAGGACAGATCTGCCCGTTCCCCCCCCCCCAGGCCCGTAGCCTGCGTGGGGCCCAAGGGGCCCGGACCCCCTGCTGGGTTTGCGGGCCCCCTCCCCATCCTCTGCTCCCCCCTCCCCCGCCCGCTGCCGCCACCCTCCAAAGTCAGCCGCCAGTTGTGGTTGCCGCCGCCGCCGCCTCTTTCTCCGGCATCCCGCAGGCGCTATGGTCTGGATGAGCGCGCTGGGCTGGCTCTCCTCGCGGCA